TATGCCATTTGTCATTTCAAAAGGTTAGAAAAAGCCAACGTTCTATAAACTGAACTGAAGAAGTTATATCACACATAATAAAAAAAGTCTTACTCAACCAAACAAATAACCATGAAGGTCTTATTCGCCAAAAAATAATAGCGTAATAAAAGCATACCTTCCTAATACTGATGATATAATAAAAACATTTAGTGTAAGTAGATCAAATTTATCTATATTCAATTAAATGTTCTAGAAATATCAGACAGACTAACTTAGTTGGTAATATTTCATCAATAACTTTGGATCTCAAATATATTAGGAATTCAATATCGGTCCAAAATCCACTCTGGAACCACTACAAATTATCAAGTACTACCGATATTGAAGCTTACATTAATGTACTAAGATTCCTTTTCCTATAAACCTAGGTATCAGATATTACTTTTATTTTCTGAGTCTGTATTTTTTGTGTGATTTGTTACTGATCTCGTCTTTTTCGAGGGGAAAAAGTTTCTAATTCAATCGACACGTTTATCCGAATATCTTTCATATAGTCTTGGTATATATTTCCAGTCATATTTTTCTGTATTTATGTTTGTAAGTGCACTGATTCTGTCAGCAGCTTCACTCCCAGCAGCAGGGTAAAAAGTAACCTATGTGTTATTCCAGACTATAACCAATCTCAATGCCAAATTTTATACGGCTCCGCTACGCGAAACACAGCAGCTTTTACGTGAAAGAGTAAATAAATAAATTCTCTCGCCTATGGCATGGCGAGAGGGAATGTCAGGCTCTTACTGACTTAAAATCATCCAGTTTATTCTGGAACAGGTCCTTGGAGCAAGTCCAATCCAAGGTCGCTGTACCTAATTACGCTTCACCATCAATCGTTCCGCTTGGAATACAACTCAAGGATCGCAGAAGAAAAATTTATTAAAAAGTTTTATTAGCAGTCTCTAATCAGCAGCAGGTTACAAGAGAAGCCTAACACTTCAAGTCTGACACTCCCTCTCGCAACCCCCAGGAAGAGAGAAGTCATATGATAATTTTTACACTTCAAAAAAGCGATAGGTATTTCGGAAACTCTCTTACAACACCCGCAGAAAAAGAGTGAGTGGCAAGTATATATTTTACTCTTCAGATATTTACTTCAAATAAATTGCAAAGAACCATTTTAATAATAAAAATAATGAAAATAATTTTGTTATTAAAACCAGCTATATAACAGGAGTTACATCATGTCAGCAAAAAAAATCGGAAAGGTCAGTATTTTATTTATATGTCTACTCAGAGCAGAGAACAGTAAACGAACTCAGATGTCATAGCCTTTAAAAGTAAATTAAAGAGAAACAACATAGACTCGAAAATTACAACGTAAAGGACATGTACACAAACCGCGAAACACAAGCATAACAAACTTTTTAAGTATTTCTTCGACTTCAAACAAATTCCTATCAAAAGAACATTTTGTATTGTTTCAATCGATAGGCGGCGCGTCCTTGATCCAAAATGGCGTCTGACTTGAATATGACATTGAAACTATTGATAACGATTCGTAACGGAAGACTGTAATGAGGAGTAATCAGTTAACTCATTGTAGCTCGTACAACTAGTTTGTGTCACTCCAACAGTTGTCTAACTTTTCTTGTTATAAAACTATTTTAGTTAAGCTTTTCTACGTTAGTTTTGATTGGGCCCTTAAAATGTAGTGTGTATTTAGTAGCGAAAATTGCTTTCAAACTTTTTTTTGTAACACACATAAACTGGTTTGGTAATTAAGAGAACGCTGTTCTTTTTTTGAATTTGAAGCTGGTCGAATATAATAGAGAAATTTAAACATGGAACATTTTTCATCTGAGCCTGCCAAAATAAAAGATATAATATTACCTACGTTTCTTAAAAAAAAGCGTTCAGAAACATCAACCACCAAAAAATACTTTTTAAAAATAACCTAAATGAATGCTGACATCCGCTAAATGAGTTTGCATAAAGTTGAGAGCTATTTAAATATCCATTTCGCGAAACCATGTTACACGAAAAATTGTTTGGAGCTGCTATTTTTATCATAATTAAGTTGGGTATTTCTGGATTTCTAGTTAGTAGAATATGATTATGAGTCTAGTTGGTTAGTGTACCTTCCTAGTCAAATTTATTGACACCACACCAAATATTTTGAATTTAAAAAGAAACAAATAAGATGTGGCTGAGCTATGATTCGGCACGAATGTGAGGTTACCGAAAGCCTAATTCTCTCCCTCCCCCCCATTCCTTTCCAATCCCTAAATCCTCAAAACACTTTATCTCTAAAAGACTGACAATTTGAAACTCCTCTTGTGTTGCCATTGTTTTTGTCTTTATTTGCCACCGTATAACATTAAATAAAAAATTTGGTCGGAACCGTATTTTCTTTAATTGTCATGTAATAAGTAATATACCATTCTTTGCCTAATCAACAATTTCCAATATGTTGTGTTAACAGCGACGACGGGAGAAAATTCTAACTTAAAACAACATTTAATAAAAAGAAAAGTAAAACTAAGTATGAGAAACTGTCCACGTTGAAGTCGTAAGTTTAGAACAGAAGGCATGTCGTTGCACTCTGCTCGCTAACAATAAACATAAAAGACATTGGAGGGGATAAAGTCTGGGTAAGAACCGCTCGTATGGTGTTCGTGTTACAGAAAATGCTTAGAATCAAAAGAATTACAGAAGATAATGCAATCAGTCAATAGTCTTTTTTTTTTGTAGAGGGATTCACGAAATACCTCAGAAGATATGGGACAAGCCCGCCTCAAACTCCCAAAACCGCTGCAAATCCTGCAAACCAGGGTCTACAGTAGATACAACCATGAAAACACCGGAACACTGAAGAACAGCGTGTACAAGTGGACATGAATGAATGTGTTTAAAAAAGGGGAGAATATTTATTTGACTTATCTATATATATAAAAGAAAGTCGTGTAAGTTACTCCACTTGTAACTCAAGAACGGCTGAACCAATTTAGCTGAAAATTGGCAGGGAGGTAGTTTAGAGCTAGGAGAACGACATAGGATAGAATAGAGTAGATTAGGTAGAGTGGGGTAGGTAGAGTAGATTAGGTAGAGTGGGGTAGGTAGAGTAGATTAGGTAGAGTGGGGTAGGTAGAGTAGGTTAGGTAGAGTAGAGTAGGTAGAGTAGGGTAGGGTAGGTAAAGTAGTGTAGGTAGAGTAGGGTATGTAGAGTAGGGTATGTAGAGTAGGGTAGGTAGAGTAGGGTAGGTAGAGTAGGGTAGGTGGAGTAAGGTAGGTAGAGTAGGGTAGGAAGAGTAGGGTAGGTAGATTAGGGTAGGTAGAGTAGGGTAGGAAGAGTAAGGTAGCTAGGGTAGGTAGAGTAGGGTAGGTATAGTAGGGTAAGTAAAGTAGGGTAGGTAGGGTAGGTAGTCAAATGACGGGAGCGACGCCGCGGGTAAGAGCCAGTTTCTTATAGAATTAGATTCGAAAGAGAAACGAAAAAGGTTTTTCTCCAAAACGGACCGAAAATTCTGTGTCACTATTTCAAATTACTATCCGAAATCTTCAATTCTAAACATCAAAAGAAGTACACACAAAACCCAACATTCCGTTTACACAATACAAATCAGTTCAAGGTCGTCAAGCGAACCAATTACGAAGCTCTTCAAATACAGACAGGAATAAAATCAAAGGGGAAACCTAAACGATATGAAACGCTTTGAAATCAGATAAAGTAACTCAAGACGACAGTTTAATTACTTTTTAATAAGTATGTATGTAGTAAAGTTGTTCATTCGCTGTATCTGTATAGAGAGATCTGGATAAAGCTAAATGAAACTGGTTTTAACCGGATTAATCTTGATAAAAGTGAGAGTGTGCGTTTATTGGTGTGGTTTATAGATGCAATTTGGTATAATAATGAAAGTAGGTAGGATTCTGATGGGATATAATAGGCATAAATCGACTGCATCGATGTTAGTACGGCTGAATAATTAATTCTCTAATTTCAGGGCCTTTCGTGGTTTTCGGACAAAATTTAAAACAAGACAATTTTTAAAAGATCTATCGGATAAGACCAAAGTTTTGCTATTGGAGCGTGTACCAAAGCGCTCTGACACTAAAAAACGAACAAGGATTTATGAATTTATCACAACACAAGTAGCCGTAGCAAATATTTTCCTGATTAATCATCACAGTGAATGATATTGCGCCGGGGTTTGCTGGGCATGCGCAATAAGGCCACTCTGGTCTGCTGCAGGAGGAGGAACTGGGTGGTCTTTAGTCAGTAAGAGACACTCTGAGACCCTCCCTCACTTCACTTTGAGCGACAGAAGTCATTTATTGATTTCCGCAATAGTGATTGATATTGCAGAATGCCAAAACGTCCATTTTTTTTTATCAACCAAATACTAACTCAAACACTGTTAATGATTAAAATTATGTTATCAAAAAAGAATAGATGTATGATAACGAACCAGGAGGTGTATTCTGAGGACAAACGTCTTGAACTACGGTTCAACTTTTTTAAAAACTTTTAGAGGTCATGTCTCCCTTGGCAGAGATGAATCTAACTAGCTCCGTCCCGCGGGAGCCACTGAATTAATTTGCTACATAATTTTATTAGACTGACTTTACTGAGACGAGAAATCGTTTTGTGTCTCTTTCAAAAACAAAGTCTTAAAGTCACCTTGGCTACAAAAAACCTTTGAGACGTTTCAGGATTGACAGTATGTATGTGGTAAAAATTTATTTCTAGGCTAGGTATCAAAGAAACGTTACTTTGGGACGGTGGGGTTTCTTAGTTAGTAAGAGTCTGACACTCCGCTCTAACCTGGGCAGAAGGCATTTCGACGAGAGAAGGTAATTGTGCGGGAGACTGCTCAACCTGCCTATAATCCCAGTAATAGGGGTTATGAGTATATTTGTAATTTTGCTTTTCTTTTTTTTTGCAATAAATAGATTTAATTTTTCTTATTTGATGATTTTTCCCTCACAAAATAGATAATCCCCCTGACATACAGCCGGGGTCATGGGTCAAATACAAGAAGGTACTGCGGCTTCAGCCTGGAGCAGGTGAAGGAACGGGGGTTTTTAGTCAGTGAGGATCTCTCTTTCTCACCATTTCCTACGCGAGAGAAGGCAGTTGATGATTTTCCAAAAAGATCCTGACGTATAAAGACAATAGTAACGATATAATCGTTACTATTGATTTTGAAGTTCCTTGGTAGGTCACCGATTTATTGGAAAAATAAATAATTCATCTTTCCACCGTTTATAAAGAATTATTTATCAAAGCTCAAGGCCACTCGATTTCCGAGAAATGCCACTCAAATGTCAATCAAGTGGACTGGCTCTCAAATATTCAAAGAAATTATATCTTCCTTCGTAAGTAACCTTGAAAAGTATCGGAAAATCAATTACCTAACTTGTTAACTGCTATTCTATCTCACCTGATTTCTCAAAGGGACTAGCAGATACTTTGTTTTAAAAATTATAAGAACATATTACTTTATCGGTCTTTAAAATTAAAATCATTCATTGGTTTCTGCCAGCATCTTTGTCGGCAACAGAACACCTTTGGTTAACTCTATCTGTGTGCCAAGTTACAAACAATCGAAGCTTTGGCACGAATGGGTCGGCTCAAACGGATTGATACTACGGCTTCAGAGAAAACCGGCGTAAAACAAACACAGCGTTATGTTTCGCCGTGTGAGCGAGGTTACCGGAAAGCCCAATCCCTCCCCTACCCCATCCCTTCCTAATCCTTAAATATCCGAAACCCTTATTCCTAAAAGGCCGGCAACGCGCTCGTAGCTCGTTTGGTGTTTCAGGTGTCCACGGGTTGTACGTAATCCGTCTGCTCGTATGCCGAACTACACCATAAAAAACCGTTTAGTACATTTCTACCTGAAAAAGTAACAAACATCCATCTAACCAGACTCAGTAACATTCAAATTTATCATATATTATTAATTACGATTTTACTATAAAAGCGTTACTATATAAATTAGAGACGATTGGAATATAAGTTCCCTATGTAATCCGTACTAATCGTGTTACACCCGGTTGAATATTTCAGTGTGTTCTCACTGAATTTCATGAAACGTTTCACCGCCCAACTGGAGGCTACGTCCAGTGGAAGCGGCGGATGTTCATTTTAAATTAGTTTAAGGGTTTCGTTACATTAGAGCGTATTAGCTTGCACATGTTTGTATATTATTTTTTTTGGAATATGATGATACTAGCTTCCACCTGCAGCTTCGCCCGTGTGGTATGTTGATAAAAAGTAGCCTATGTCCTATTTCGGAGTGTCTTTTCTTCTGTGGCAAATTTCATCCAGATCCGTCCAGCCGTTTTGGCGTGATTGAGTAACAAACATCCAAACATCGTAACCTTCGCGTTTATAATATTAGTAACATAAAATTATATACAAAGTAATATACAAATGTAAATATAATAGTAATATTTGCAAAAAAAATGTGTCAATTTATATCATTTTCAAACATGATTCTTGTGTTTACGTTCATAGCAAAATATGATTTTCTAAAAAAAAATACTTCATTTTTATGGTCGTTATTTGCCATAATATGTCCCCCTTGGTACTGTGAGAGATAGTATTAGGCTCTTACTGCCTAAAAACGACTCTAACGGCGCAAAAACTATTATAGGTAGGAAATTAGAATAATTTTATTCCACTCTTCCTGCAGAATACAGACTTTTTGCACAAAGATAAGGGGAGGACGTCCTAAGCAAAAAATTTAGTATTTTATGAGTTTCAGTTAAAAATGGCTGTAGTATTGTCACAATTATTATATTTACTTTACTGATCCGAGAATCAAATTAAAGACTCTTGCTCGATGGTCGCACCAAGAACATTCGACCAACGACGCAATCATTTAAAAAACAGTAAGAATTTTAACACGAATAAATGTATTCTAAGTTACCATAATGCAGAGTAAGTATACGGTCTCTAGTGTACGCATACCTTAACAAAGCGCTCAGTAAGAGCAAATTGGACTATATTTGTTTGAAGCTCCCACCCAGTTATGTGTTCATTTAGATAATGTCACATAGCATTACATATGCATACAAATATAGCACCTTTGCTCAACAAGGGAAATAAACCAAAATGTATTCTACACACATTATATTAGGGTTGTTTTTCTAATGGTTCTGTTGCGGAATAGCCGAATGTTTTTGGTGAAACGTGATGTTTGTGCGTAATGTAATCAAAGATGGACGTGTTAGGCTCAGGTACGTAGAGAAGGAATGTCGTAAGGGCCTTGGAGGGTGCATTGAAATATGAACCTAAATAATGTCGTTTGCGGTTCAGATTCTAAAGTTAGACGGTAAACACTAGTTTTGAATACTGTCTTATTAGTATAATATATTATGAAGATTTAATACCCAGGTTTTACAGTAACCCTTCAAAATTTTCTATGATCAAGATAAATTGGGCCCTTAACTTATTTTAGGAGTTGCGGGGTAAGCGCAATGAGGTACCGCGACCTCGGCATAGAGCAGGAGATGGAACAGGGGGGTTTTTAGTCAGTAAGAGTCTGACACTCCCTCCTGCCCGGCCCTGGGCGGGAGAAGTCATTTGATGATTTTCCCCTCCCAAAAAAAAAAACTTATTTTAGGAATGATGTGGCAAACGCGTAATCTAATCAAATGATGATATGATGATGTATCCATGATCCACGCTGCTGAACAGAAGAGGTTGCAAGTGCTTTGCCAGTCTTTAAGAAATAAAGGTTAAGAAAAAAAGTTCAAGGATGTAATTAGGGCGTTTTATAAATTAGGGATTTTGACATAGGTAAATGGTCGATTAGGCCTCACTAATATCACTTACACGTAGTTTCATGGTGGTTTTTATGAAACCGTGGTATCACTAGGTAACTAAACATTGATAACACTTGTCTTACAGTACCTACCAGATAAATTTGAATTTATAAACTTAATTTCTAAGAGGTATATACGACATAAGTATATCGGTTATTTGCGAGTATATGAAAGTAGTGAAATAGAAATTATAATGTGTATAGTTTGTCTATAGTCATGTAGTCAAGCTTTCCAATGCAATATTATATACTTACATATAGGTATACTCCTCAAAATGAATATCACTTGTATGTGTAGGTAGGTACATAAGATTTCCTTGCCGTTACGAACAATAACAAACGTGATCAAATGTTTTCGCAAAGGATTTAGATGTCTCATAATAAGGAAACAAATCCCTGACATCATAACAAAACAAAACATATACTTTGTTCGTGTGGAATAGTGACTTCCCGCAGATATTTGGTTTAAAAACTATCCTATGTCCTTTCTTGAGTTCCAAACTATGTCTGTACCACACAAAAATAAGTTCAGTAGTTTAGGCGTGAAGAAAAGACAGACAGACAGTCAGAGTTACTTCCGCATTTATAATATAAGTTTGGATAAAATATAACAAATATACATACATACATAAAACCCGGTTGTTCTGCACACAATGGCGCTGAACTTACATAGGGTAAGCCGTTTGCCTTTAAACAACAGTGTACGGCAGAATGCAAGTAAAGCCATATCCATTTATCTAGCTTTGAGGTCGTCTGATCCGCTTATTTTTATTTAACTGCGCTGTGATGAATTTTATAAACAAATGCTTTTTTTGCATCTGGCAACCTTGTACTGTGATTTGTGATAAGTGTAATACTCGAAGAATATTTAAAACCTTCTCTTACTAAGCAGAAAATATTATTTTTCTTTAAAGCTAAGAGTAAGCTGTGTAGAATAACTATTCAAATTCATATGTATATTTTTTTATTTTGAAACTGACAATTTCAAATATTGGAACTATTTTTTTTCGTTTAAAATATCTAATGCTGATTTTCTCTTAGATTACTTTGGAAAATGTTGAAACTAAGCTCAAAATTTAACAATACAATTAGGATATCGATGATAGAGTTTGACTGCACGGTTGACGTAATGGGCATATCCTAGGGCCGATTCCCGCACGGAACAACTTTTCGTTTCATCCATAACGTCATTGTAGAGGTGTGATTTGTATGTCAAAGTGTATTGAGGCAACGCGACGCGGCCCGGAGCAGGAGAAGGAACGGGCAGTTCTTAGTCAGTAAGAGTCTGACACTCTCTCTCGCCTTACCCTGGACGGGAGAAGTCATTGGATGATTTTACCCTGACAATAAAAAAAATTTCAAAGTGTATAGTTATAAAGGCACCGAAAAATCTTGCTTTAAAAAAATCTTATTATTTTGGACATTTTACAATTTTTGGAAACAATTTTGACTAAATAATAAACCCAAGAAAGATCTAGACAGAACACAATACTGATAACCACTACGTCCGAATGGGTCCATTTGGACCATTCCCTTTTGGTCCACTTAACGAAATAGGTAGAACATACGGCCAAGAGCATTATTCTCCATTAACAAAGCAAACTAAGGGAATTATGTGTCTGGGACGTCCAGGGAGAGTAAAAGTGATATAGTATTGTGGACTTTAACTACGTGGTTATAGAATGTGTTATGCAATACTCAAGTGGAGTTAGTAATGTATGAACCAAAGTTTAAATACTGTCATATATTATATTATAGTTTATTATTGTCATAAATTATGTAAGGAATGTTAATATCTTAGGTCCTTATTGGAACCAACAAAAAAAAAATGTTATTGGTTACGACTTATAAATATGTGACTATATACTATCGTGAGATATACTTACTTACCTACAAAATTTATAAAAAAAATCAGCGGCCTTCGCTCGAGTGTCCAACTACTTCGTAACGACGAACGTTGTAGAGTTGCTAAACCACAAACTTTTTATTATATATCATAAGAACCTTTTCCTGATAAAAATAATTGTTGGCTAAATAGGTCTAGACGTTGTTGAGTTACACTACCAACACATTTCGCGAATCACTTATTTATTTATATATGTTTAAAGATAACGACTCCAAGAAGGTTTTTGTCTGATAATGCTTCGCGTAATTTAACCACTGGATACGAATTAAGTCTTCAAGTCGGAAATAGAAGTCAAGTTAGAAATGGCGAAAACCAATAGCTTTGCGCCTAATTTGCAGGAGAAACGTACACAGACAGACATAAAATAAAATGTTTACACCACCAAAAGTCTATGTAGAATATATTTTAAATTGGATTGCACTTTCGAAAACCTTTATAGTCTAAGATCCCAAGCCACTTACCTTAGCAATCTTGTGTAGGAGAGCTGTAGTGGAACTAGTCTTGAATAGACCGAGAGCCCGGCGTCGCAGACCCTGTCCCAGACACGCCTCGACAGCGCCACACAGAGCTGTCACGCCTCCACTCTCTTCATGTACAAATTTACGTGTTACAGCCTGTAACAAGGTAGAGATATAATAAAAATAAGGTAAAAATATTATAAGTTTGCTTAGTTGGTATTTAACCTGTGGTATTATAACGCAGAATGCAGATCTACGCGAGACACAATGTGTTTTCTATTATGTCTCATACGAGAGGCTAAACTATTAATTTGCCCAATATATTTAAAAATTAATGAGAAAGTTATGTTTTTAAAATGATGAAGTGATTGAATGATAATATTGTTTAATTCCGCAAAAAAAAACCTGATAAATACTTTGTTACTATTTTAAGGACATTACTCTACTTACTACACTATTTTTAGGTTACTGAAGGCACAATCCATCACTCCCTAAATCCCTAAAAAACACTTGCAATCTCTGAAAAGCTACACTATTATCAAAAAATGTGTATAAATACTGATTAAAATAGAAATATAGTTAAACCTTATTCAAAACTGCACCAAGCGCCTTCCGTAATTTAAATTACGGATTCCCAAGCTTCATCTTCTGAGAGCCGGTACTAAAGCTTAACAAGTTTCAATGTGAACCTCAACTCCTCAATCTGTTGCCTATAATATCTAGAAATTCTAGGACCTCATCGATAATATTAATCAAGAGACGAACTAAGCTTAATAAATCCTCAATATTCACCGGAGAGGCTTAAAAGGGAATCACGTTGAATTTGTAAAGTTGAAACAACATGGATGGTTGCAACAATGTATGTTACATGTTGCACCACTAGGCAGAAGTGCGCGACATGAAATATAATATTATACAATTCTCTATACAATATAATATACATTTTTTAATTATTTAAGTCATTGACTGCCGACTGTTACGGGTTATTTCTCTGCTAGCGGGGCCCACATGGTTTTCCATGGCGTTCAAAGTGTTAAATATTTTTTTAAATAAAAAAATCATTGTCATACAGTAGGATTTTCGAATGTGTCGTGAGTGCTTTTACAAACTTAAAATTCCACATACACATCATACCCAGCAAGTCGATTTTCTAAAATTTGTTACATTTTGAATCCTCTTCGAGTGGGAAGTGAGCGTCGAAGTGGCGGGGAAACTACATTATAGAATGCCACTTTTAACGTCATCTCATACTTTATCTACCAAAATCTTGCGGTCAATTTAGTTCAACTCGCAAGTGTAGCGTTAGTGTACCCACAGCGGATTTAGATTCGAAGTTTAGAATGAAGTCTTACACAATCATAAAGCTGGATGACCTTCAACCCTCAAAAAAGAAAACATTTTGGTACAAGGTATGAATGAAAAACAGAAAGAAAGAAAACTGTTTTTATTCGGACTGAGACATGAAGGCCAAGATCAAAAAAAAAATACAACAATAAAAAATACAATAAAAAGTTTGAATAACAGGACAACAAAATAAAATAAATATAAAATAAAATAAATCTAATAGCTATTACATTTTTTTTGTGCAGCGTTTTCCACCAGCAGAAGTTTTTTTAGTCAGCAACCCGGATTTATATTTGCCTAAGTATGTGTTATTCCGGACTATAATTAATCTTAAAGGCCAACTTTATTAAAATCCTTTCAGTAGTCTTTAAGTGAAAAAGTAATAAACCATCCATTATTTAAAAACTTTCGGGTTGATAATATAAGTTATAAGTTCCTATACACGACCCAAGCCATAAGAAGTTTTTAGCGACCTAAGCCCCAACGAGTACAAGGCTTAACATTTGAGCTTTCTATAATGAGGAGACAAAGTACTCTGAAAAAGATTAATGTTCCACAAATTGAAGCCGATATCTCTCAGCTTAAAAGAAAATGCCGACATCGAAATTGAAATGTAATTTCCATTTTGATTTTATCGAAAATTGTGAAAGAAAGACTTTTCTCTTTGATATCGATTCTTTTATTTGAAGCCTCTATCTTTTATTATTATATTATGTACCACAATAGCACTTTTTTAACTTTTTTTTAACTTTTTACTTATCTATTTAGTAGGGGACTAGCTTATTTATTTGCTTGTACCGGTTTTTGATGCGTTTTTTACATTCTACATATCATACATTCTATAACCACATAATTAAAGTCCACAATCTATAAATATAATAAAACAGTAAAAATATTTTAACTGTGCATTCAGTATTTTTGACTGAAAATGATAAAAGATGGCTTTGTTAAAGAATGTTTGAATATTAGCTGCTCACGCAAAAACTACTAAATGGATTTTTTTAATGTAATAGATCGGCGAACGAGCAGACGGATTACCTGATAGTAAGCAATCAGCGCCGCCCATGGACAATATGGCAATGGAGGAGTTGCGAGTACGTTGCCGACCTTTTAGGGATTGAGAAGGGATTAGGGGAGGGGAAGGCTTGGGTATCTGGTAACCTCACTCACACGACGAAACACAACTCTGTGGTTGTTTCACGCCGGTTTTCTGTGAGGCCGTGGTATCACTCCGGTCGAGCCGACCCATTTGTGCCAAAGCATGGCTCTCCCACACTTTATATCTTAAGGAACCCTTGCAGTAATGTAGGTATTTATCTTGGCATTCCCACGGAAATGGGAACCACCACGCTGTAAACTGAAGTTCACGAGAACGGAGACGGACTGAAAAATCAGGCCTTAGTCAAAACTCGTTTTTAACCTGATTTGAGCAAGAACGACATTGAAGTCTATTTCCTACATTTATTTCTTTTTGTTCGGACACGTTCTCGATGCTTCGTGCAGTTTGTCATACATTGCTTATAATGTTCATATTTTTGTATTTGGGCGAGCGATGACGCGTGTTGCCGCTGCAATGTACAAGAAACGCCAACGAACCTCAGAGAAAAATAAATAACCTAACTGATTTTGGTGAGCACCATTTTCTTACATTCCAACATTAAAACTATGATTAATTGTGACTTAGGTGCAAAGTAAGTACAAGAAGTCTTTGTTAATTACTACAAACTTTGTAATAGTTACATGAGAGGAACTTAGAACTACTGTATTTCTCCTAAATTGGAGAACTCACTAAATTCTTGTTAGATTGATTAAAACCTCGCGCACGGCCGCATGGAGGCTCTTAAATTATACTATTTGAGTACAAAACTTTACAACAATAAGAGCACAGACTCTTGTTTACTAACCCTGTAATATATGGGATTCAAAACACAAGTAAATTATATGTATGCTTTGAAAAAATCTCAAAAAAATATGGTCTGCTATAGTCATTCTACTGTCTGTGGTAGTTAACTCACTACATCCCTAATCCGTCAGCCGCCGAGTTTTATAGACCTGTATTACCATGGATTTGTCCCGGAAAGCGCTCTTAAAAACTGTCGGAGGGTTGTGTGGGATTGCTCCTATTTTATTGAGTCAAATACACGTTGACAACATCAACCTGGCTTTCCTTCATAAACGCGTGACGTCCCCAAAAATAACCCCTTACATATCTTATTTATTTTACAACCTCGCTTCACCTTCTACGAGTGCAATTAACCATGGACAAATCAAACTAATGTAATATATATCACATTACAATTTGCGAAGTTATACATATATGTATAACATGTTTAAGTATACCAGTATGTTTGATCATATAGCAGTCACTTCTCAAGATATATTTTTAATATCAACACGAGCAAAGCAAAGGAAATTGAAAATTATATAGACGTCCCCGCAACGTCTAAAGTGACATGCAGTAGGAGAACATTCTCGAATATTATGACTTATACGTACTTATATATATGGCTTTGTACGATTTCACATAGCTTTATGTCTTTTATTTGAGATGGGACAGCAATCCAGCAGACCGATTACCTGATGGTATGTTATTGGCGCTGCCCATGGACCCGCAACAACAGAGGAGTTGAGAGTGCTAGCTTTTTGGAGATTAGGGCTTCCGTAATGTAGGGGTTTTTTTGCCAAGGGAAAATCATCAAATGACTTCTCCCGCCCAAGGTAAAGCGAGAGGAAGTTTCAGACTCTTGCTGACTGAAACCCCCCGTTCCTTCTCCTACTCTAGACCGAGGCCGCAAGTGATTTAAGAGTTGGGGAAAGATTAGGGTAGGGAAAAAAGGAATGGGCCTCCCGGTAAACTCCCTTTGTTAAAGAGACCTTCCTCCCACTTCCCGCACTAGGATTTTCACCAGTGTCGTTAACAAAATACATTTTTACAATGAATTATTTCAACAAAATCTAAGTAGTGTATCACCCTTCCTAAAACGAATAGGTTAACTTTATAAACCATATTGACTTCGAAAACATAACTTCACAAAGTTCGTGTATGTAGGTACCCTAGTTACGAGTTGTCGAAATCAAAACAAATAAAACAGGTGTTTTGAATATCAAAAACTTATTCGACAACCAATTGTGTGTGGCCAAAAACTTTTAACGAACGCCTCAACAATACAACAACAAAGTTGTTCTGTTTGCATAAGTAGATAAGTAAATATAAACAGCTGGTTGTTAGTGGCTTGTTACAGAAACTGTAGCATGAAGCGTTGCAAGTTGCAAGTTGCTAGGACCGTTTAAGCTTAACGGTTTAAATTCATTTGTTTTGCATTTTAAATTGTATTTTTTTTATCATACTACTAGCAACATTACGTTTACAAAAGCGAAACTTTGTATGTGTGGGTAAATGGGTTTTAGTTACTTTTTCATATAAAAATTACCGAAAGATTATAATTACATTGTCTGAAATAACACATCTTAGGCATTTCGTAGTCTACGATAACATTAACTCTTGAACTCTACACACTGAACAGACACGTGTTCAACATTTTAATATGTGTATTTAACTTCGTGAACGAAAACTTACTTTTTTAAAGGAGTAATAATATGACCAAACAGCTTTTTTTACCCTTGAGCAAAAGACAAAAAGAGAGTCAGACTTTTAGGTAGTAAAACCTGCTCCGGTCTTGTTCCTGCTCCTAACCGCTACATCATTTCGCTTTACCCCCAACCCGAGATCGGAAGACGATCTCCGGCCACCAAAAGTGCGGGTCTGCGGCGGGTAAGTAAGGGTAGCTCGCCGCCCAACCAGAACCAGGCCCGAGCGTAAGGCGCGTAGCGTTCTGCGCGCGCTTCAAACAGCCAATAGAGCAGCACCACAGACGAAGCACAATAGGGTTATTGTTCAGCCGGGGTTGCGGGTTAAGCGCAATAAGTAACCGCGGCCTCGGCCTAGAGTATTAGAAGGAGCGGGGGGTTTTTAGTCAGTACCAGTCTGACACTCTCTCTCGCCTTACCCTGGGCGGGAATGGTCATTTGATGATTTTCCACTGACAAAAAAAATCTGTCACTTCCTCCCGGTTGACCTTGAGAGAATTTATTCAATGATTTTCCCCTAACAAAAAAAAGTTCGTCCCTTCCTGTTCTTGCTCCGAACCGGGCCTACATCATTGCGCTTCACCCGCAACCCCGAGCAGGACCACAATAGGAGGTCCAGACTAAACTGAATATTAAAATTTTACCCCTAAATTGTTTCAGCACTGAATTAATAAGTACCTACGAAAAGGAAAGGGCTTAAACACTGAATAAATTTCTGCGTCTCATGCGCCAACACGCGTCATTTTCGGTACATTATATTTTATTTCTTATAATTCTTGTTAACAAGTTAATATGTTCTGTGTTAAGTAAGCTAGTAACTTGATCCCACTTGTATAACTTAGACCGTCTAGACTGTAATTAGTGGTAGAATGGACTACAATAGAGATGTTTTGCAAAATATTTTATAACCTAAAATGTATTTTAGGTTGTTATTCAATTAGTATCATTTTTCTTTGCAGATAGACAGAAGCCACTGCCCTTATAGGGGTCGATAAACCGTACGATTAGCAAACTGGCATATCAACTTATTTCTTAGTTAGTGACAACACCCTTTAACAAATATTTTAATCGGACAAAAAATCAATCGATTTTACTCCAAGGCAGACTTACAATGATTTAGTTAAGATGATAATTCATAATGTAAATAATATTTAGAGTGAAATTTAATAAATAAAGGATAGCTTAACATGTGATAGTAATACTACTTAATTAAGTGTGGGAGAGCCATGCTTCGGCACGAATGGGTCGGCTCGACCGGAGTGATACCACGGCCTCACAGAAGACCGGCGTGAAACAACCACAGCGTTGTGTTTCGCCGTGTGAGTGAGGTTACCGGATGCCCAATCCTTCCCCGCCCCCAATCCCTCCTCAATCCCTAAATCTCCAAATCCCTAATCCCTAAAAGGTCGGCAACGCACTCGTAACTCCCCCGTTGCGGGTGTCCATGGGCGGCGCTGATTGTTTACCATCTGTCTGCTCGTTTGCCGACCAATTACATAAAAAAAAAGAGAAACAAAAAACGACAAATTTCAAATTTCAGTCGCGCGTGCGTCCGTCTTATATTAATGGCGTTAGAACATATTTTTCTTAAAAAAAATGTTTTGAACAATTATGAGCTAAGCTGTCCTTTCATATTGAGTTGTATTTATGAAGTGATATGTACCTCTTCCATCAACTGTTTGACCTCCTTCTTGACGGCTGCAATGAGCCGCTCTTTTTGCTCAGCGCTGGGATCCGCGGCCGCGGCAGCCGGCATCTCCTCCGACCCACCTTCAGCTACAACAAATGCACTATTGTTTTTATTAATATCGACTTTTATTTAATTAATTATTAAAATAAAAATACAAATGGACCGACTAAATCAGCGTACAGATAAACGACCTGAGAAAAAACCAGCGCGGAATAAGGCTTATGTCGTGTCTGGCTGTGTGAGTGCGGATACTGCAGAACTAATCCTTCCCCTCCCCAATCCCTAAATCTTCCAAATCCCTAATGCCCAAAAGGTTGGCAACGCACTCGTAACTTCTCTGTTGTTGCGGGTGTCCATGGGTGGCGCTGATTGCTTACCATCAGGTTGCTTACATCAGCTCGTTTGCCGACCAATCACATAAAAAAAAATATTATGTTGATTATTGCCTTTAAAGTAATTTCAATTATAATAAAGATAAATAAATCAATTTAACGATTAAACGAACGGACCAACGAAAAAAAATAATTTGCCTATTCCCAATTTTTTAATCCATAAAAGCAACGCAATTGTGAATTGTAACTAAAAAACGTTTTCAAAATATGTATGTACTCATTCCTTTTTTGTTCTATTCTGTGCTTAGGCGTGGCTACTGTGGGTATCAAAAACATAATTAATTACCTATTAATACAAACGTATCACTATAAAACAGACTAATTCTAAATAAACGATAACAAACATTATTTTATAACAAAACCTCTATACGCAAATCACTAGGCAGATACAAATTGCCAATTTGGGTTTTGCGAAATACCGAATACCGTGTCTATTGATTAGGTAGCAACCAATAGGATTCGGTATTCATTGGATGTCTGGCTTTTAACTGTTCATTTTAACGAGCTGGCATCATAATGTAATACCTACGTAACAATTAAGAAACTTTCTTTTTGTTAAATCGATCTAAATAGCTAACTTTTAACATATAATTACGCGGGCATTAACGCGTAAAATAATTATAATTAACTTGGTTGTTTAAATCCAGTGATTCGCATAACACAACCTCACTTTCCTTCAATGTCGGTTAACACATCTGTGGATACGATCAGCGTAGTATGTAGACGGCCTAATATAGTAGAAAAAGAAACCAAGGTAGTAGATGAAAATTTATCGCCGCAGGATGCAGGGAGTTGTGACATCGTATCTTTAGTCTGCTTGCGACCACTACCTGTGCGACCAGGTCGAAACGTCAAGCCTACCAAGGTATTAAGATAATTAATTTTCGCGTTAATACCGGCGTAATTATATGTTATATGTTAAAAGTTGGCTATTTAGATCGATTTAATAAAAATAAATGTTTCGTTAATTGCGTATCTTTTTAATATCGTTACGTAGGTATTTCAATTATAATGACTGCTCGTCAAAATGAACAGTTAAAAGCCAGACATCCAATGAAAATCGAATCCTATTGGTTACTACCTAATCAATAGAAATCGATCTAAATTGATTTTTGTTTTGTTAATATTTTGAACGGATCAGTTTCTATTGTTTTTTTATGATTTTTTTAGGAGATGTTTGACGGGTTTTTTCTGGAATAGGAAAATAGGCTGATGATGATGTTGAAGAAGATACATATAATACATAAGATTTACTATAGCATTAGCTTTGCTTTCTTGTCTTCTTGGATGAACAATCTTATCGTGAACCATGCTATAGATACATACACACATAGAATGTATTAATATAATATATATAAAGACTAAAAGTCAAAGAGTAGTACATAGTGCTATGAAATTCTCATATTTGATGTAATTTTCAGTCAAGGACCTTTCGGGGTGTGACCTCAGGAATATTCGCTACCTCAACACCAAAGAGATATTTTATACAGAAACATTCTTGAAATTCACTTTGGCTTCCACAAATTTTCACTTACATTTGTAAATTTTCTACTTTCCCTGCTATTTAGAGGAAAGGTATTATTTGCATTTTAAAGCAAGATTTTCGCGGTTTAGTGTAATTAACAATACGATGACAAAATCGAATAAAAAAATAAAGAACTCGAAAACAAAAGACACAATTTTACTAATAACTTTTATCATACAAAGAATTTTTGACTCCAAATGTGATTCAGAACCAATAATTATTGTTATTGAAAAATCAAATAAAACTACTAACGAATAAAGTTTGATTTTGCACAATCTCGTATTATTGGCATCTTCAACAGGTAACTAGTCTAGCATCCAGTATCTAATTTGCTCGATTAATCCCATTCAATGCTACGACGTAGCCGCGTAGCGATGGTTACGGCGTAGCAGGTGCTACGCTTGCGATAATAACCGTTCGGGCGAGACGCAGATTATCGTGAATGTACCACACCTGGCTTATTTGTAGCCTTGAATTAAATGTATTACGATCGCTTTTTATGTAATGTATACAATAATAAATTGTGTTATGCACGGCATTATAAAAATACCTTAGATAAATAAATGAAATATACCGTAAGCATTTATAACCGTTCACAGTTACAACGAACGTTTTTACGAACGAAATAAAGTGTCATTCATTTAGTGGTGATCACAGTATTAAAATAACTTCAGCAGTTTATGAGATTACCACGATCAGATAAAAGGACTTTAGATGATAAACTTGATATGCAAATATGTCATACATAAACATAGCGACAAATAACATTGTAAAACGTAACCTAATTGTTATTGGAGTTAAAGTATTAATGTAACCTACGTATTAATCTACCGCAGCCAAGGCTCGGAGCAGGAGATGGAGAAGGAACGAGGTGGTTCTAAGTCAGTAAGAGTCTGACACTTCCTCTCTTCCCACCCAGAGCAACAGATTCGTTTTAGAGATTCATTACAGAGAGTCATTTGACGATTTCCTCCTCCTAAAAAGTATAATTTTTTTAAACGAAGAAAATCCTATTTTGACGCAACCCACACTAGGATTTTCTCTTGTGTCGTGGGTGCGTTTGCAAACATACAATTTCATATACACATCACACACAGACTAAGAATAACAATTTTTGGATCACGCAAAGAGTTGCTCCGTGCGGGAATCGAACCTGCCAACCAAGCAGTCAAAGGAACTAAGCTTATAAGTAAATAAATGGTGTATCTAAACAGGGCGAATTTTCCTACAATGCCTAATATTCTACTTTGAATAATTCTCACTTTAAACAGTAGCTTGAGAAAAATCTCCGTCAAAAAGAAACAAGAACTTTTTAACAACAATGCCCTTTAATTAGTATAAAAGCTTGTAATTAGCTCATTAATTTAATTAGAACAATACTCTGTGGCACCTCAGATAAAACCACTTTTATAGTTAATTTCCTTTGTTCTCGCTTTCAACGTGAATCGTACTTTTGTTAGAAGTTTTTTTTTTTCATGTACGAGTTCATTTTGTGAAGAATCTGAAGTGCTTTTAATCAAGAATTAAGTAGGTATGAGAGTACAATAATGGAATATTTGTTTATTGCAACATTTGTTTTTATTTTCATGTATTGTTAATGTTTTTTTTTCATTAACCAATGTTGAAAGTTGTGTTTCACTAGTTTCGAATTTGCTACGGGTCAATAGTAACAAAAATTAACATATAAACAAAATTAATCTCGTAATGGTTAAGGTTTATAACTACATAGTACAAAACAAAGTCGCTATCTCTGTCCCTATTTCACTACACGTGCTTAAATCTTTAAAACTCCGCAACGCATTTTAATATGTTTTTTAATAGATAGAGGAAAAAAAAGGAAAGAAGAGAAAAGTTTGAAGAGAAAAGTTTATATGTATAACAACATCCATTAAATAGTGGAGAATCAGCGGCGGGCGCAATGCCTGTGCGAAGTCGGGGTGGGTCGTTAGTAACTCAATAAAACGAAATTTCTGATGCATGAGGGTGCGTGTTCAAAACCTTTACAAGTACCAATGTGACCTTTTTCGAGTTATAGGTATGTACTTTCTTAGTGTGTTATATAACTTTAATTATATCTATAACTATTGTCAAAAATCTAACTGAATCTACACATTTTGGCCATTAATGTTAAACGTACTGTCGCCACCACACGGCTCTTCTATACACATAGCTAGTACTGAACATACATTATGTTATCAGTTATTAATTGAAAGTAGATTTAAAAGCCACTTTATTAAAGCTTAATATCCTATAAAGATATGTACTTTAAAACCAAGTAATATCATTTCAAATTACACCTAAGTACAGATCAGTCTATCCGACTAAGCAAAGAGCACACGGCACGTTCCAATCGGTAACTCCACAAATATTTGTGGAGTCGGTATTAGTTCCGAATGTGGGCGTCGTGGGTTCTACGTTTGTAGTACAACTCTATATTATATAGGCCGTCGACCTATACCTTGCTTTAGCGTACAAGACGTAGGCGAATGTGCATAATAATATACTTGTACTTCACTAAATATAGGTATTAAAGTTGTTCAAAGGGCCCCTGCGAGTTGGCCTTGGCCACTCGTACAAAGGAGGCCTTCCAAAGGTCCGAGACCCTATGGTCCCTTGATTGGAACGAATACTTAATACAATTTTGATTTAATTTGAAAACGAATGTACTTAAATTACAGTCCAAATCTTCAGGACTTAGATATTGAGCATGAATGCTTTTTAGTCAGTAAGGATAAGACTCCCTCTCTTCTAACGTAGCACAAAATAAGTAATTCGATGAATCCCGTTCGACAAAAGACTCGGAGGTTAAGAACTGTATCTTAAGGATTCCGTTGAAGGATTGAAACATAACTTACAAGTGTGTATGGAGCAATAAATTTAATGTTCTATTCAGTACTAGCTACGCCCCGCGGTTTCACTCGCAGGGGCTCCATTTTTTTTTTTTAACGTTGCCCCACATTTGGATTTTCTCCTGTGTCGTGGGTTCGTTTACAAACATACAATTTCACATGCATATCACACCCAGACCCGGAACAACTTTCTGTGGATCACACAAAAAGTCAATTAGTGGAAGCATTTTGGAAACCCGGCCATGGTTCGAAAGATTACCCCCTACATTCAAACTTATAAATTTTACCTCTTTATAATATTAGTATAGATTTATGTTTTCAAATGTATGTAGTTCTATTGCAAGTGTTTTACAGGTTTTTTCATTCCGTCATTTAACGCTAAGAACCTAATTGAAAATTTCCTTTAGGGTAATAAAATGTTTAACGAAAATATATATTTATATGTGATTGTCATTTTACCAAACTTATTTCTTAGTTTTTCAGTAGAGTATTCAAAATTAAAATCTAAAAAAGTTATGAGGAAGAAGTCGGCACTTCCGAGACATAATGTAGACTCCATAGCCACCTTTTAAGTTATTACAAAATAATTCTACCTCAAAAGGTTGTAAGTATATAAACGCGAACGTTTAGTCACAGGCCATTTATCAAATAAGAAGTGACGAAGGATATTTTATTCAGAATCCATCAATTTTGTTACAAAATGGCGCTGATCAGCAAATTTCCTCACAGAATTTTGGTACTTACTGGTTAAAAATTTAAAGGAAATTCTTTTTTTTTTTTCTTTCTTTCTTTCTATACTAATATTATAAAGAGAAAAAAATTGTAAGTTTGTAATGTAGGGGGTAATCTTTGGAACCGCTGGTCGGATTGCCAAAATTATTATAGGCTATAAAACATCACGCTACGATTAAATTGAGCCGAGCAGCGGGTGAAACCGCGCGAGAACAGCTAGTTCAGTTATAAACCAGCGAGTAATGAAAGTAAAACATTTTTATGTTCCATAAAATTCAAATAATATGTATTTGAAACAATTTTCTTCTTTTTTCGTGAGTTTGAAGAAGAATTTTTAATTAGGGCAAGAAAATATGCTTCACGAAAACACGAGTAAGCGAAAAGTTTTTTTCGTTGTATTACAACATTTCGTTTTATGTCTATTTTAATTTAATTAAACATAGTCTACGTACAAAAAAAGATTTATAAGTTTTTTTTATAAATCTTTATAAGGTCATTATAAAGAATATAATCATATATCATTAAAATGAATCCCAATTTTCCTTGGTAATGATGTCATCACGTCATCACGCGTGAACTACTAGACTGAGCGTGAACGACTATATAGTCACGATTCGGACAAAAAAAAATGATTTTATTACCAGAAAAGGTTTTTAAACAAAAGAAATTTTAAAAATTAGAGGTTAATCAGGTAATAACCCTTTTGATATCGTGGCGGTTCGCTAGCAAAACAAATGACTGACACCGCGGACTACTAGTGAAAGTATATAAATAAATAAAATTAAAGAGGTAAACATTTGTTGCAATTTGATTTTATATAACTTGCGAACTGCCGAGACGGCTTCGTTCGGGTGCAATTCTTATACTATATTCCTCCACTATTTTAATTGAGGTTATCTATACTAATATTATAAAGAAGTAAAATTCGTAAGTTTGTACCTATGTAGGGTAATCTTTGGAACCGCTGGGCGGATTTTCAAAATTATTTCACTGATAAATAGCTACAACGTTCCTGAGGGCTATAAAATATCACGCTACTATCAAATGGAACCGAGCAGCGGGTGAAATGTGAAAAAATATAAACATTCCTCTTCAATCACTCTATCTATAAAAAACACGTCAAAATCCGTTGCGTATTTGTAAAGATTTATGCATACATAGGGATATAGAGACAGAGAAAACTTTGAAAACTTTTTTTTACATTATGTAGTGATACAAGAACGAAAAAACCTCTTGCTTTGATGTCCAATAGTTATATTAAAAACTCAGACAAAGTAATTAAACATTTTTAATTACATTTTCATTAGAAGTTAGTAAATAAATAATATTTTACTCTGTAAATATTCGTCACAGATTAACGAACGACCGTGACATGTCCTGTATCCGTGTAATTAAACTTTAAATTGTAAGTAATCCCATGTTGATTGATATAACATAATTACGTTTTTAATGTCAACACAACTGATAATAAAGTGGCAAATAACTTTTCTTATTCAAAAGTAAATTGTTTTGACGTTTTTATACCAAATAATGTTAAAAAACATATAATTGTAAATAATTGCCTGTGGCTGGAAACTAGTTGTGCTACAATATAGTAATTTCGCCAAAAAAAAAACAATATGATTAAAGTGTGGGAGAGCCCAGCTACGGCACGGATGAATCGACCGGAGTGATACCACGGCCTCCCAAAAAAGCCGTTGTAAAAATAACACAGGCTTGTGTTTCGCCGTGTCAGTGAGGTTACAGGAGGCACAATGTCTGCCAATCCTTAAATATCCGAAACCCTTATTCTCAAAAAGCCAGCAACGCACTTGTAACTCGTTTGGTGTTGCGGGTGTCCATGGGCGGCGGCAATTAATCTCATAAAAAAAAATTAAGTCAGGTTAGATATGTTTTCTCCAGAAATAAAACAACTTCATATAAAAAGGTAGGTACACTAAGATGCAATAAAAACGGTGCCCTAAAATTTTGCCGTCCGAAATGCTTTAATATTTTTTCACTACAGTGTACATGAGGGTCGAAAATGGAATGATCCTGTTACAGGAGCCGAAAATTGCCTGGTTGGCTCGTAATGTGCGTAGAAAGTCCACGTTTCCTTTATAAGCTCTAATTTCGGCACTATAAGGTCTATTTTAGTTCTAAAAAGCATACTGACCCGTTCTATTTTTGGCAACATTGACCAACTAAGACTTTTTATGATCCGATTTGGCTGAAAAGTGAAAACATCATACATACCTGTGTCTTAAGAAATGACTGTTACGAATTCTCCAATTTCTATAAACATTTACTGTAATAGGTAATCCATTTTAATTTATTTGGATTCGTACGCAAGCTACATGAACCTAATAACTTTAAAGAAATAATGCAAACTCTGAAAGAGGTTTATCTTTGTCAATAATGGAAAATAAGGCCAAAAGTATAAAACGTGTGAGTACAAGCAACCAATCCAAGTCCGTTAATAATAAATAGAAAAGCAAAGAGAAACGATCCGTGTGAATCACTACCACTCATTCAATATTCAACCTACATGAGTACCAACTCCTGACTGGTAAAAGGTCAGGTGTAAGGAGATCTTAAACGTCATCTGTTCCTGTCATTGACGATATAACGATTTATATGTTGAAATACTAGCTTCCGCCCGCTGCTACGCGAAAATTAATAGGCATATGTCAGTGGAAGAAATTTGGAAATGCGACCAGCGCGGTTCCAAGGCTTAACCCCTATATACAAACTTACAAATTTTACCTCTTTGTAATATTAGTAAAGATCTATGTAAATTATAAAATATCAATACGACCTCTGGCTCCCTTTGTGGATATCTCCAATTATCCTCGACATAGAACAGCCATAAATTCAAAAACATCCTCTACCAACATTGAAAATAATCGATCCTATTTAATGTCTACTACTTAGTACCTTTGCCGAGAATACGGCCTGAGGAAAGTCTTTGTGACGCCCGTAGCAAAGATAATTATTGGAAAACTGCCAAACTAAACTAAAAGCGCCCGAAAGTAAATAATTATTATCTGTAATCTCATCTATCAAAATTAATTACAGTGAAACTCGATTACATAAAAATCACGAGCTAACATTTCGAATTTAACATTTTCTAAAAGACGATTTAGTATCGGTAAATTTCAAAATCGAACGAGCCAACTCTATGGTTTATATTTTTTATTTGCTTTCGCTGAGAGGTAAAAGCTTTTAATTAATTCTGTCAAAGGCGTTTGTTTGTTTTCGATTAATGTAAAAACATTTATAGGAAATTTGTTGTGAAAAAATTATGCAACGTATTGTTGTGTAAGGTCTTTCTAGAAAATATTTTTGTGAACTTCAAAGAACTAAAGAGCTCTTAGAAAGGAGGTCGACATTACCAGATTTTGACATGGATTTTTTTATACTTGTACATTTTGTAAAATGTGAAATGTCTTTTCACATTTTTATTTAACTTTTGCAACTATCTATGTTAGTACACTTTATAAATGTCAATTATACATAGACTAAAAATGGAAGCAATTTTGTAGACCAAAAACTTTCATGCATAGCTTATAAGTTTGTTTCCTATTAAAGGATATTATACTTAGCAA